CACGTCATCTTCAGTACGCAAGCACGACGACATCCACCACGCAGGTGCTGTCCCTGAGGACCTTCTTAGCTGTTTCAAAGTTCTCAAGAAGTACATGAGCAAATTCGATTGTCTTGTCAACGAGATGCTTTACATTAAACAATTAACACCGAGTTGGAACGTGCAAACGGATTCTATCCGTGCTAAAGTATTTGTGTAGCTACCTCTCCTATGTAAACTAGTTGTAACTCCTGAACTCGCATTTTTTAATTTTATTTTCATTTGTACCCTTGATAATGGCGTCATGAAGTCGCCGAAACGTCGGGATATTATATCGCTCGTTTTTACCTCTCTATGTGTATAGTTTGTTATGATTTTTGGTCCATCACTCCCGACCGCAAAATAACACAGAGATCTGAGGCGCTTTGAACCGCTTGTTTAATGAATTTTAAAATTATTACTCTTTTCGACAACGGAGGCAGTTATCTAGACTACGAGAAGTCCCTCCTTTTCGGCCGCGTGGTAGGCGGTTGCCCCTGATTCAACTCCTCGACTGCACTCTGTAAATATCCCACTGGTCTGCCTCATGACGGTGGGGATTTTTAAGCACTTATTTAGTTTCCTTGGCATATTAGCATGTATTGCTAATATGCCTAATCAGCCTATACAACCCGAGTTAAAATAAAGTTCCTTCTTTCCTTTTCCTCCACGAGGTGCGTCGTGCGAGTCAAAACAGAAAAGATTCAGTAAAAAAAATGCCGTTAGTGCGCTGTGAGAACTCTTGAAGTGACGCTAATGCGCCGCAGGAGGTCCATAACTATGGAATAGAGCTGTATCTTCCGCCATAAATTCTTCAGCTTTGAGAAGTCTGTAGCAGTTTTCTTTCGTGTCCTCATTCGTTGAGTTGATACACTCAGAATATCAGATAAGGAAATTGCAAAACGTATCAAATAACATAGATACCATTTTCATTTATCTATGGGAATTAATGCAAAGGAAGATGGATGAAATCACTAACAAATTTTATCTTCTTACGGTCTCATGAAGCTCCTTCTCTCCAAGTAATCATTCCATCTTTTTACAGTAAATGCACTCTACAGCATCAAAATAACACTAGGATGTACCGTGATCCGTTAATCTTAATCATTTTTCAAACCTTTTTCGCTTTACAAACGTCTGGAAGATTCTTCGCTAACGTGAGTGCGATAACCTTGCTTAGTGTAAAGAATTAAGATCGGAGGAAAAGATGGAGCTTATTCATAATAATATAATAACTTAATAACTTCTAGAGCGCTATTTTCATTCAATGATCAACAGCGCTTAACAACTTGGAATACTACAGTAAATTCAAATTTATAAAACTAATTACATCTACATTAATATTAACAATGTATGTTAAAAATAAGAATGATATNAAATGTACATGTATGTCTTGCCGTTAATTACTTGGACAGTTCGAGTGTAATAGCTGGTCATTGGTTTATTCCAGTTGTACCTTGGCTTCCCAAGCCGAAGGAAGACATTAAGGAGAAGGCTTCTAAAGGAAGCAATGTGTCGTTTGAGTGTGCTGCGAAAAGATTTCCTTTGGAGGTAGAATGGAAGGTGAAGAAGCAGAATGAAGACAGTGTTCAGGCTTGCATAAGTAAGTTTTAAAGATGCTCATTTCATCAAGGGTCCCTATTAAAACAGTTCAGCACAATCTTTGAGGATTAGTCATCATTTGCCAATATAAGTTATTCATTATCTTTATTTATTTTTTTTTTGTGATCAAACAGAGACAGACAGAGAAATGATCTGTTCTTGAGGAAGTGAATGTCTCACTTTACCTTGGCTGTGTTTCTTGTCAGATGGATCAGGTGGACACTACAAGATTCATCAAGATGCATTTGGCCCATCAATTCTGACTCTATCTGGAGTGGATTATACTGATCGTGGATTTTATTACTGTTGTCTTCCTTCAAACTGCTCCCAAAATGTAGAAGACAAATGCCAGCAATTCATTCTTGGCGTCAGAGGTGAGGCTCTACGTGTACTTTCATCATTTTACTTGCTTAGCACTTTGTACCCCAACACCGACAACATCTAGATTCTTCATTCTCTTCTGTATATATATCCTTTTTTACTGAGGAGGAGAATTTGTCGAAAAATCAAGAAACTCTTTAGTTGGTGATCATTTCCTTAATTCTCGTCACCTTGATGTTTGATTCAAGGTGGTCTTGTAAGCTTGGAGAAATTACAGTCTATGTGTAGATGCTTAAGTCACCGTTAGGGATGAAAGGATTATGTCATGGTAGTGGGTAGGTAACTTTATTTGAACTCGGGTTGTTGAGGCTGATTACGCCCCCTAGAAATACATGCCACCCATCCAATCCCAGGGGAGAACATCCACCACGCAGTTATCTTGTGCGTGGTAAATTAACGTCTCCTACCCCTAACCCTGCAGGAGACAGGGCCTACGGTTTATTCGTCCTTATCCGAAAAGACTAGAATATCTATTCATTTCTTGATATTATAGAAAGGTAACAAATGGTTTACATGTACATTTATGTCCAATTTTTCTCAGAATTATCACTGTCAGCTGCATTTACATGTAGTAGCACACAAGTAATGTTGTTATTATTATCATTATTATTAGTGTGATCATAGTCATTGCAATTTCCTTAAATGGGATCAGTGCATTTGTTG